CGGGATTCCCAGCGGCCAATCCGGAGGCGTGTAGATGAAGGCCGAAGCGGGGAGGCAGGGAGCGAGAGGAGGACCGCCAGAGAGTCAGTGAGGTCCGGCCACTCGGGTGCGCGCTGTGCGTGGCTGCCATTTTGGAGTCGGGCAGCTGTGACTGTGGCCGGGTCCGGCCGGGAGAAAGGGAGGAGCCAGTCAGGTGGGAGAGAGGCGGTCACGTGGATTTGAGAGGCGGGGAGAAGCGGGCTGCTGCCTGAGGGGCTGGGGCGGTTGTTGCGAGTCACGGGGGCTGAGGACTGTCACGTGGCTGCAGGAGGACTAGCGGTGGGTTTAGGGTTGGGAAGGTCAGCCTGAGGTGGGATCCAGGAGAGCGCTTTGTCCTCGCTTTCAACTCTGAGAAGGGGAAAGAGGAAAATGCTGAATGGACGACGTGAGTACTGGCTAGGAAAATGTGAATGAGCCTCCCTAGCTCCCTCTAGCATGGAGCTACCCTGTCACTAAATTCCAAGATCCACGAAAACCGGGCCCTTCATTTAATTCAAGTCTTCCCTTCCCCGCTTCGAGCTGCCACAAAGATGACTCACAAACGGAGGGAGGGGTGTTCTCTATCCCTCATGTTGCCTGCACTTTATGTGGAAGGTCCCCCGCCCTAGAAATGGCTGAAAGGGTACAGGAAGAGAAGCGAGGTTAAGGGTTCGTGACACCTTCAGGATTTTCCACCTGGCCTCTTAGAAACGTCTCAGATTCATCGGCCATATCTTAATGACGTTCCAACGCGTAAACTGACAAACGCTTGTACAATCTATTCTCCCTGCTAGTCCATTCAAAGGGCTCCTACCAAGGATATCAATGACATCCATATGACCAAGTTCAAAGGTCGCTTTGTAGTGTATTTCACATGTACTCTTGGAGTGAATTCTGTGACCTACATACTTTTTTTTTTTTTTTTTTAGTACCGGGATCGAACTCGCCCCTACATTCTTGAAGGTTTTTCTTCTCCCCCTTGCTTCACTTTTGCGGACACCATATAGTACCCTTAGATTGTCTAATTTTTCTTAGTCCTTTCTCTGGTTGCCTTGAAAGAGCCTCAGGGTCAGATCCTCAGACCTCTCCTCAGGAGACACATAATCCTCTGGTACACACTAGGCGATCTAACCTGATGTCCCAACAGCTGAATGCACACTTGATGAGATCCCGATCTGCATGTATAATTGCCTTTTGGACAGCTGGCTTGCCTACCAACATAATGTGTCCAAATTGAAATTCCCCTACCTTCTAAAGTCCACGTAATCTATTCCTTCTCTATTCTTTTTTTTTTTAATTATGAGAAAGTTTTATTAAAAACTGAGAGGTTTTTAGAAAGCTTTGTCAATTTGATAAGCAAAAGGTATCACATTGTTTTAATTTGCATTTCTTTGATAACTCTTGAGGCTGCAAATTTTTTAATGTTTATTATCCATTTATTACCTGTGAATATCTAATAATGCCCGTTGTCTTCAGCCCATGTTTCTTAAACATATTAAATTCTTATCAATTCATATAGCAGAGTTGCTACTTTATCATTTTTGTTGAAAACATTTCCCCCAATTTATTTACCTTTTATTATTGCTTTTATACAATGAATTTTTTGTTTTTTTGTACTGGGATCAAACGTGGGTCCTTGCACTTATGAGTCAGGCAGTAGAACCACTGA